GACAAAGTCTTCGTTGGAAACGTCAGACACTTGACACAAGTCTCATCGACTTCATCAGCTACGTCCTTTGTGGGCTGCCCAAAGCATTTGCTAGCGAGATCATTCCGCAACCGTTGCTGCTGGCCATAGTGACGATGCGTGAATTTGAACACATTGACATCCATCATCGGATCCCAAACGCGCTATATAAGTATTAATGTTCAGCTTTGGGGTGGATGAACCCAACTGATCATTCAAAACCCAACAACATCGTTGGTAAAAAGCAGCTGGAAATGGTTATTCAGTTTGTAGACCAGCGAGGGATTTTGGTGACGCGAGGGACTTTGGTGACACGAGGGTCTTCAGAACCGACGCGGTTATCGTCATCCTCGCGGACCTCGTCGGCGCGAGGGACTTTGGTGACGCGAGGGACTTCGGTGACCGAGAGTCCTCGGAACCGACGCGGTTATCGTCATCCTCATATCCTCATAAAAAAAAGAAATCTTTCCCATATCATTAGCGGGTCACGGACTCATTGACGACATTGTCACTCCGGAACTCATTTTCTCGTCGCCAAAGACATCGTTGGCATCGGTCATCGGAACACAAAAAAGAAGAGAAAAAAAAATCGTTATCGTTGTTTCGCAGCAACGCAGTCAGCTTCAGCAAGCGAAGCGTAAAATCTTAAAATCTTCAATAAAAATATGGAGTCGTAAAATCTCCAACGCATAAACCGTCCTCTACTGCGGTATTGGTGGTCCGAGCCAACAGCATCACGCTTACAGTAACATCATAACTTTGAACAGCAACGTCGATATTTTGTAGTCTTTAACTCGATACTGTTATCACTAACACTACCGAGCTGGGGGGCTAACTGTTGGGGTCGAATTTCACCCGCTCAATGTTGAAGTCCAAATTATGCAAGCGCAGCGCATAGACCCGAGAACGCATTAACGTACAGATATTATATGACTCTCCCGGATTACTTCTTGACGAGAAGGCGAAGTCTTTCTTCACCTTTCCTAAGTCTTCTCCGCCCAAGAAGGGAGCCTTCTGAGTCCTCGTTACTCGCAGCAGAAGTCAGGAGCACAATGCCAGCGATGTCAGCGCTGCCAGAGATGTCGACAGTGCCAGAGATGTCGACAGTGCCAGAGATGTCTCACTGTCAGCATTGTCTCTGCCAGAGATGTCAACACTGCCAGAGATGTCTCACTTCCAGCGATGTCACAATGCCAGCAATGTCACACTGCCAGCGATGACCCGCCAGAGTAACGACCAAGGCCATAAGCACTACAAAAAAAGAGGGATTTTACATCATTTAAAAGGTATAAAAAACCTAAATGATATAATATTAAATCATTTATTAAGTAAATGATACAAAATATGTGACTTAACATCAATTGTAGTAATTGATATTATTTTTGACGTGTTTAACATCGGTTTAATAATATTGATGCAAATCCATATTAATTTGTATCATTTAAAAAATTGACATATAAATGTTGATTTACATTCCTTATTTAACCAACGTAATTACCAAATTTGGTTAGCATCATTTAAAAAAATGATTGTAAAATTTATGTCACTAAAAAATTGATGCTAACACATTTTTAATAAATCATTTGCTTACTTTTGTAAGTCCCACATCGATAATTAAAGGTGGAGGTAAGAAGATTTTAGTCTTATAAATAACTAAACTCCCTCAATTATATTGTCAAAGTTCAACATTGATTTTGACTTTTGATAGCTTATTTAAAGGTAAATAAATATTACCTTAAATAAAAATTTTATTTACGATTAGTTTTAAATTATAATCCAATTATAACATTTTCGAAATTGATTTTTATTTAATTGATAAAAAAATATTGGGCATCATTTATTAAACCGATGTAAATATTAGCATCAATTTTTTAAATCGATGCAAATTAGCATCGATTAATATAAATGATGAAAATATTTGTATCGGTCATTTGCATCACCATTTTTAGAGTCGCTTACATAAATAATGCAAAATATATTTGCATCATTTATAATTGATTTAAACAAACAAAATAAATGATGCTACACACCTCTTTTTTGTAGTGAATGTTCTCCGCGCTAAGGCCCAGACCAATTGCGAAGCCCACTTCGACAACACCGACGTAAAGAAAAAAGAATCCACGAAGACTTAGGAGAATTAGCATTATCTTTTATGGAAAGACTTAGCCGACTTAGGAAGCTATATATATCGATGTATAAATCCTTGTAAAGGAATCTGCAATTTTGTTTACAAAAGCACACACCAATAACAAACGTTTCTCTTTGCTCATCGTTTCTTTCGTAGCTTAACCTAGAAATCTCTGCTTACTCACAAAACCCTTACGAATATAACTGTGACAGTCTTGGGTCCCACAAACAACAACAACAACAATTAATTAAAAAATTAAACAACACAATAGATGTCTCGACCTATATATACAGGCTTGCTAACACGGCAAGAAACTTACTCCTACAAGTCAAAGAAATAAACAAAAATGGCAGTGTCATCACAACATGTGGTTCTCTTCCCTTACATGTCCAAAGGCCACACCATCCCTCTACTCCAATTCGCTCGTCTCCTCTTCCGTCACCGCCGTAAAGAACCGACCATCTCCGTCTCCGTCACCGTCACCGTCTTCACCACTCCCAAGAACCAACCTTTCGTCTCCGACTTCCTATCCGACACACCGGATATCAAAGTCATCTCTCTCCCTTTCCCGGAAAACATCTCCGGAATCCCCCCCGGCGTCGAGAGCACCGATAAGCTCCCTTCCATGTCACTCTACGTGCCCTTCACGCGCGCCACGAAGCTTCTTCAACCTTTCTTCGAAGAATCACTAAAGAATCTCCCGGAAGTTTCTTTCATGGTCTCTGATGGATTCCTCTGGTGGACAGCGGAATCTGCAGCTAAGTTCAAGATTCCTAGATTGGTTTTCTACGGGATAAACTCTTACGCCTCCTCTGTCTCCATCTCCGTATTAAAAAACAAACTCTTTACCGAACCGGAAATTGAATCTGATTCCGAACCGGTCACTTTACCGGAATTTCCATGGATCCAGGTTAGGAAGTGTGATTTTACCCATGTAGTTACCGATTCGGAACAATCGGATCCAGCTCACGAACTAATGATGGATCAAATCATGTCGAACACTACAAGCCATGGGTTTATAGTGAATAGCTTCTACGAGCTTGAGTCAGCATTCGTTGATTACAACAACTCTGGTGATAGGCCTAAGTGGTGGTGTGTTGGACCGTTGTGTTTGGTAGATCCTCCTAAACCAGAGCAAGCTAAACAGGCTTGGATTCATTGGTTGGACCGGGAGAGAGAGGAAGGACGTCCGGTTTTGTACGTGGCTTTTGGAACGCAAGCAGAGATATCGAACGAGCAGCTTAAGGAACTAGCTTTAGGCTTGGAAGATTCCAAGGTACGCACCAAAGGTTTAAAGACCATGGTACTTTAAATATAGTCTACATATCAAATGAAATGATTACAAAAACTTTAGATGTTTATTCATCTATATTAATGATTAAATATAGTCTACATATCAAATGAAATTATTAAAGCTCTTGATTGCATTTGAGGTTTTCGACTCATCAACTAGGTGTTATACTTTAAGCAGACACATAAATTATTTCTAACTAATTCTATGACTTTAATTCCAAATAGATATTTCCATGACTTTAATTTTTGGGTATGACCACACAAATTGGTATTGACTTTACGGTGTAGTTTATAAATGCATTTATTGCATCAAAAGGTGTTTAATTATACATACTATAATCACGGTAAATTTTATTATGGACCATAAAAAGTATGAAAGAGCCTCCATTTAGAAATGTAAAAGTGGATTTTTTTAATCGTAGTGTTCGTACCAAAATTATGTCTTTTCAATTATAAATTGGGAAAAATTCAATTATAAGCACTTTTGTGCCGTATTGGTTGGCTAATGATGCAAAAAACTATAATGTGACACTAAGCAAAAAAAAAAAGATACTCTATTTATAAGTCGGCATATAGGCTTTTCTTCAACGTGATATTTCATGACTTTAGTCTAGAATGTGACACTATACAAGTTTTTCTTTTTTTTGGTAAACCACTATACAAGTTGGGCATTGCATTACGTGCACGGGCATGGTTATAAATGCATTTGTCGAATTAATTAATAATGTGTTTCATTTCATGACGTGCTTGATTTATAAAGGTGCACTTTTTGTGGGTCACGAGAAAAGACGTGGGAGAGATTATTGGAGAAGTATTCAAAGATAGAATAAGCAAGAATGGGATGATAGTGAAAGATTGGGTGGACCAATGGGAGATATTGGCACATGAAAGTGTCAAAGGTTTCTTGAGCCATTGTGGATGGAACTCAACGCAAGAGAGCATATGCGTTGGGGTCCCAATTCTTGCTTGGCCGATGATGGCTGAGCAACCACTCAATGCAAAGATGGTAGTGGAGGAGATAAAAGTTGGAGTAAGAGTTGAGACCGAAGATGGTAGTGTACAAGGATTTGTGACAAGAGAGGAACTTAGTCGAAAGGTATTTTTTTTCTTTTTCTTTTATTAATGGATCTAACAAATTGTGACACTAAAATTATGGTAATTAACCAGGTTTTGGTTTTCTTAAGTGGATATATTGAATTTTTCTATATAAGAAAATATTGTTTAAAACAAAAGAAGTACGTTACAAACCGATAAATTCATTTTATAATTGTGTTTGGGGGTTATTTCTTTTATTGAAGTTTTATAATTATTTTTATATTATAGATTAAAGAACTAATGGAAGGAGAGACGGGGAAAATCGCAAGAAGGAATGTAAAGGAATACTCAAAAATGGCAAAAGCAGCTTTGGTCCAAGGGGTTGGTTCATCTTGGAAGAATTTAGATTTGCTTATTGAAAAGTTATGTAAGAGTAGAGAATCAAAAGGTGCTAATTAATAAATAGAGGGATTGAGGATCAAAGAATTGACCGGATTAAGATCGGTTCGTGTAACAAAATCAACATATATTTATAAGTCTTGGTTTAGTTAAAAAGTTTGTTAGTACCGTCTAAACGGGTGAAATAAACCATTATCTTAACGATAATTGTCTGTTGTTTCCGGTGATTATTTTGACGTATTTCGACTACATAAAAGCCAAATTGGTCTCATGCCAATGCCATGATGGGCATAACTTGTCCTGCAGTATAAACGTATATGTATTAGGTATTAAGAGTAAATGTACATATAACCTAGGGATCTACTTGTAATTACTTTAACCCTAATATTCTTGATGTATCACTATAAATACCTGTACAAATCATTCTAATAAGATAAGAAAAGATATTCTAC